TAAAGTACAGCAAAACCTACAGATATATACAGTATATAAATATATATATATATTTATATTTTGGGGGGTGGGAGAAATCCAAAATAAAGTCAATGCTTGTTTCCTTTTTTAAAAAAAAATAGAGATTGGAAATACAGCTCAGCAGTTAAGAGCACTTGCTGCTTTTCCAGAGGACCCGAGTTCAGTTCCTACCTCCCCTGTTGAGCGGCTCACAGCCTTATGGAATCTGACCCTCTCTTTTGGCCTCTGCTGGTACCCATAGACAGGTGTATAAGCACACAGAGACACATAATGAAAAATAAAATTAGGAGAGTACATAGCAATCGAGTGAGCACATAAGGTTGCTTTCTTTCAAAAAGTATTTCCTTTGGGGAGAGTTGGCAGAAAGCATCGAAACTGAGTGCCTAATTTCAGGGCTTGGTGTCATGTGGCATGATTCTGGGGGTGGGAGTAGGGGAGTTCCAAGGTATAGCAGCCTCTATTTTCCGAGAAGCACTGACGTCTGCATCTTCTTGTGCTGCCCAGCCCATCCTCAGAGGCTCCCTGACCTTTCTGCAGCCTCCCTGAGAGCTGTCTGGAAGTCATTCCCAGAGTGGTGACTTTGGTAACTGTATGCTGCCAGGGAGCTGCCCTCCTTCCCAGACCTCCCCCTTTATCCCTTCCTACTTTCCCAGCAGCCCTCATTCCAGGCTGCTGACCTTGGAGTTCCCAAACTGTATAAACAAAACCAAATGGGAAAGTGCATTCCTAAAGGAAATTCTTGGCAGAAGTAGAAGAAAGCTCCAGCACATAAAACTGATGGGGGGTGGGATGGGGGAAGGGGAAGGGGGCTGGAGAGATGGCTTAGTGGTTAAGAGCATGCATGAGCTGCTCTTCCAGAGGTCCTGAGTTCAATTCCCAGAATCCAAATGATGATTCACAACCATCTGTAATAGAATCTGATTCCCTCTTCTGGTGTGTCTGAAAACAGAGTACTCATAAACATACATACACACGTATGTACATACATGCATACATACATACATACATACATACATACATACATCTAAAGCAACACTGATTCTGTACGTCGTATCTCTCTCCCTCTGGCATTTTGGGACTCTCTTTTTTTTCTTCCTTCTTCCTCCCCTACTCTTTTTGTTTTGTTTTTTCAAGACAAGGTTCCTCTGTGTAGCCCTGGCTGTCCTGGAATGCCTTCTGTAGACCAGGCTGGCCTCGAACTTGTAGAGGTCCTCCTGGCCTTCTGCCTCCGCCTCCACCTCCACCTGGATTAAAGGCCCTGCCCAGTTTCATTTTGAAGACAAGGTCTCACATAGCTCAGCCTGGCCTCAAATCCACTCTGTAGCTGGGGATAATCTTCACCCGATTGGCCCTTCTGTTTCTCTCCCGAGTGCTGGAGTTATGTTTTATTTTTCTATTTACATGTTTATGTCCACACGCTCACCTTTGTCATGGTGTGTGTGGAGGACAGAGGACTGCTCTCACGAGTTCCTTCCCTCCTATAGTGTGGGCTCCAGCGTTTGAGCACAGGTTGGTGGCCAGTGCCTTTACCTGAGGAGCCACCTCACTGGTACCAGTTTTGTTTTTATTTTTACCACAATAGCCAGTTAATATATTACTACTAACTGGATGGAACTCAGGCTTAGTGTGTAGTACTCTGCCAACTAAGCTACAACCTCAACCCTTTTTCTGTCTCACTGTGTATCCCAATCTGGCCTCGGGCTCTTCCTGCTGCAGCCTCTCAATCTCCCCAAGGGACTGCAGGGGAGTGTCACCTTCCTTGAATTTTCATTAGCTTGTCAGAATCTTCTCCCTGCCCCTTAACTACACAGTTTTCTCACATGGATTCCTAGGGATGAAGAGACCCTCTGGCAGAGTGGATAAATGAAAAATAAACAGAAACCCTGGTTACATGCACCAATCCTGTGCCTGCTCAGACTTCTTATCATGTACGATAATAAAATTCTTTTTTTTTATAAAATTCTTTGTTACCTAAACCAAATTTGCTTGCAATTTCTGTTGCAATGGAAACACCCCAGCAGGGCAGTGGTGATACACACCTTGAATATTAGCACCAGGGAGGCAGAGGGCAGAGGTGGAAGGCAGAGGGCCGAGGCCGAGGCAGGTGGAAGTTGAGCTCAAAGCTAGCCTGATCCACAGCGTGAGTTCCAGGACAGGCAGGGTACACAGAAAAACCACACACACACAAAAAACAAAAACCCCTGAAAACTAAAGTCTGGGCTGGAGAGATGACTCTTGTCAACCAGAGAGAGCACTTGTCAATCTTTCAGAGAACCTGAATTCTGATCCAAGCACTCACATTGGCCAACCTAGAGGCACCGATAGCTTCCGGCCTCGCAAGGGCATCTGCACACTCTCACACACAAAAGCCAGACTCACAGTTCTGCCCTCATTTTGTCTCCTTTTTGTGTCAAAGTCCTGGTTGATTCCGCATACGTTAATCACTTGAGTGTCTGCCTTAACCCATCCCAGCTCTCTTCACCATCGAAGGCAATGGAATGAATAACTGAGCCATCTTACTGCCCACTCTCGACAATGTCCTGTTTCAGGTGCTCAGAAAAGCGTTTAGTCGCTGTTCAAAATCTGAGAGTCATCCTGAATTCTAGGACCAGCAGAGGCTCACAGACTAGACACTCGCCCACAACTTCATGGGAGCAATTGTCTATGATACTGAGGCCACATCTGGAGCAGGAAGTATCCTAATCAGCTTGTCATATGCTGAAAGGATCTCTTTGGACCACCTTACAGACCACCCACATAGTGACTAGTGCATATCCTCTGCCCCAATCCATCATCTGATAGTTGACGAGACCATTTCCTCTTCCCAGTGTGGGCCCTGTTGATTAAATCTCTGATTTTTCTCTTTAAGTGGTTTATTGGGACAGGTAACAAAAGCCGACTGGAGCTGTGGAAAGGTGTGGGGCTTTTTCTGAACGAGCCTCCCCTAACAGAGGTCACACAGTGGATGTGTGACCTAAATGTGTTGCATTGAGTGGGTCATCTGGCTAGCTGGGAAGAGCCTTCCTGAAGTGCCTGCTTCCATCTGTGTCCTGGTGCAGAGTTAATGTCACCATAGTGTGGTCATCTAGAGTTGCAGGTGTGGCTTCTTTTTCTTTGCCCAGTTTAAAAGAATGACCAAGCACGAAAGGCAAGGACTCGGCAGTCGGCCAAGCTTTATCCAAGTCACACACAGCAAAACAGACTCCCCGCCGGGGGCGAAGGGATTCAGAAATCCAGCCCAAAAGGAGGGCTTGAGCCTTTTGGTGGTCTAGGGCGAGTCTCCATCCACTTACTTCTGATTGGCTAACTTAAACAAATAGGAGGCAGCTGATAGACCCCACAGCTTCATGAAAGCCTAGGCATGTGTAGGCTGGTCAGATCGAGAAGGGGAGCCCTAGGCCGGGTGGTGGTGGCCCACGCCTTTAATCCCAGCACTTGGGAGGCAGAGGCAGGCGGATTTCTGAGTTTGAGGCCAGCCTGGTCTACAGAGTGAGTTCCAGGACAGCCAGGGCTATACAGAGAAACCCTGTCTTGAAAAACCAAAAAAAAAAAAAAGAAAGAAAAAGAAAAAAGAAAAAAGAGAAGGGGAGCCCTGCTTAGGGGTGGAGTTTTCTTTTTATTCCTCTGTGGTTATTTTAATTTTTTTCATTTTTAGTGGGGGTTTTTTTCCCTTTCTTTTTAGCAGTCTCATGCAACCCAAGATGAACTCACAATGTTATGAAGCTGAGGCTGGCCTTGACTTCCAAGTACTGGTATTACATCATGAGTCATAACGCTCACTCTATTATTATTGTTATTATTATATTATTATCATAGAGACGAGAGTTGAATTATTATTATCATTACTATATTAGAGACGAGAGGTGAATTCTCAGAAATCCTTCTAAACCTCTCAGATCGCTGTGATTAAAGGTATAAGCCACCAAGCCAAGCCTGGCAGTTTTCCCTTCCTGTGTGAGTCCACGGAAAAAGCGCTAGCACAGAAGCCGAGCAAAGGTGTTGAAGCGCTCAATTTCCATGTATTACACGGCGGGTGCCCTCAGTCCTCCGCGGCGCATCCTCTGGGACAGCCTGCTTAGGCCTTTCTTCACTGACCCGCTGCTATGGAGACAAACCAGCCAGTCTTGAGCCCTTTCCCAGGAAGCATGGACCGGGAAGATAAAGTGGCCTGGAGCTTCGCGCCTGCTAGTCAGAAAACCAACGAAAGCAGAACCGAGGTGCTGCTCCTATGAGCGGGCTTCCTGCCAATCAGGGGCGGAGGCCAGCGAGGACACAACCAATAGCAGGAGCAATTGGGTGGTCTGTCCTTGCGGGGACCGCACCGGGGACCAGCGCTGTCGTTGAACGTCAGGAGTGCAGAGCGCGTGCCCTTCAGATGGCCGGTAAGAATGGGGCCGATCGGCAAGCCGCCGTCAGTTGTCACTCTAGTTCGAGACCTCTATGGTTGAACCAGACCTTTAACCATCAGGGCGGGGCTAATCGAACTGTGCCAGTAGTAGTAGGAGGCGACCGGGTGAGGCCAGAGATAACTACGTGCGCTGTGATCGCTCTGAGCGGAGAACCGCTGCCTTAAGTAAGCGGCCTGGACCAAGGGAGGTAGCGCTCCCGTTAGTCAGAGAGCCAATCAGAATGGAACAAGCCCAGCCCGACGTGTTTCCCCCATAATTGGACGATGCTCCTGCCAATCATAGCAGGAGCTCTTGAAACCTCGACCAATAGCAAGGAGCGCCTGGTTCCGATTTGCCGCGCAGGGTCCACGCGGTGGTTGCTGATCGAGGTCGTCAGTTGGTGATCACCTCCCCTCGGCCAAACCCCAGAGCCGACCGGCGTCGCTCGCGCTTGTCAGCCAAGAGCCAATCAGAATTGGGTAGGCCTGTTGCCACTTCGGCTTAAGGCCGAATTGTTTCTTCTGTGATTGGGCGAACCTCCTGACAATCAGGGCGGAGCCAGCGAAGGCTCGGCCAATGGCTGGAGGCAGCTAGGTCAGACCAGCGACTAACTGTAGGCGCGGTGGTCGTTAGACGGTTGGAGGGCAGCACAGGACATCTTAACTCTCCGCAGGCCCTCGGCGTCTAGCGCCCACCGGCGGCCCATCCCGTCATGTCAGGCACTGCTTGGCTTTAGTTCTTCAGGCCTCCGCCCACCCGCCTACCCGAAGCCGCGCCCACCGCCCAGAGCCAGAGGGATGGTGGTAGTCACCGGGCGGGAGCCAGACAGCCGTCACTCGGACGGTGCCATGTCCAGCTCCGAAACCGAAGACGACTTCCTGGAGCCGGCCACTCCTACGGCCACGCAAGCGGGGCACGGGCTGCCCCTGCTGCCCCAGGAGGTACCTGGAGCGAGCGATGGGGGAAGGGAGGGCTGATGGGACGCGAGGGAAAACCTGGTGCTTGCAGAGCTGACCTTGGGAGGTGAGCCTCCCAAGGAGCAATCCACCCCTGATGCCACTCCTGCACTAGGTGTGTCCTCCCTGCCCTGGGGTCACCTGCGCCCCAAGTCCCTTCTTCCCATACTCGGTAGCTACCAGATGTCAGTTCCATTCCTGTATCCCATGTCACCTTTATCAACTAGAGGAGGACTTCTCAACGCATACCTTGTGCCATACAATCCAAAAGGAGACCCTAGGTTGGCCAAGTGTATCCTCCAGCTACCTGGGGAGTGGCTTAAGAAACTGCATGCAGTTAACCTATCTGGTGCCTTGGTATGGTTTAGGAAAAGGACACACCTGAGTGGGCCGGACCAATTCTCATCCGGGTGCCACTGTGCAGCGAACAGTCTCCGTTACCACATGGAGTAATTTCATTTGCTAGGTGGACAGGAGTGGTAGAGGATTTGGGGCAAGAGAAGCAATGTGAGCAAGGACATCCAGGAGATAAATTCGGGAATTAGGAGGAGGGCAATGGTGAGTTGAACTCTAAGAGCAGAGATAGTGGGAGGGATTCAGTTATCTGTTGCTGCACTGTGGTATGCTGTGGCTTTGTTAGTAGTCCTTCGTGTGTGTGACACTTTGCACGTGAAATGACCCTCGAGATAGATAGGAAGATGGATACAGACGTGGAGACTCAGCAGACAGAGTTGTCCAAAGGGAGGGGGGGCTGGCTTGACTGAAGTTCTCCGGCAGCTGACAGTATTGCGTTAGGGTTAGAATCCCCGAATTGGCAGCATCATGGGAAACTTGTAAAAATAAGCAAAATTCTAGACATAACTCTGCAGTCAGGGAGAAGAGCCAACACAGCGGTGACACTTTTTTTGTGCACTGTCATTGGGCAGAAGTTGTGGTTTGAGTGGAAGGACACACAACCCCATTGACTGTAGGACGGCCAGGCAGTCCCAGCCTCCTGTGAGTCACACCCCTCCCTGTGAGTTCTAGGGCTCCTTACTGTTACTGGTTTTGTTTCACATATGGTGCAAAGAAGTACATTAGTAGGTGCTACCTTTTAAAAAGAACTCCAGTCATGCAAAGCATTACAACAAAATGACATTTGGGTCTTGACATATACCTAGATTGGGTTTAGCGTTTCTGCAGAAATGTAGGAGGCGTTTTGCACCATGAGTGTAAGAGTTGAATTTGTTGGGCCTGGTGATACACACCTTGAATTCCAGAGACAGAGGCAGCAGATAAATGTCTGTGAATTCTGGGCCAGCTTGCTCTATGTAGTGAGTTCTAGGAGAGCCAGAGCTACACAGGGAAACTCTGTCTCAAAATAATAATAATGATTAATAATAGATTTGAGCTTATACTTAGAATTGTAAATCTTGTGTATTTTATTCATTGATTTTTGTGAATTTTAGTCTCTACTGTAAGGCAAGTCTCAGGTACGTTTTACCTCATCCATTTGTGTTTTGTGTGTGTGTGTGTTTTTATGAGGCAGGGTCTCTCTAGGTAGCTCATGTTGGCCTGGAGCTCACTGTATGGACTCTGGAGCTCACTGGTCTAGAATGCAGGGAGTCTCCTGATTCTGCCTCTCAATAGCTGGGATCAAAGGAGTGCACCACCATGCACAGCGGGGTTCTCCCCCACCCCCAAACAAAGGATGTGTGGACATTTGGGGAAAGGGCTATTTAGATAAATATAAAGACTTTCACCACAGCCAGAGAGATGTAATATTTGAGAAAAAGAATTCTAAGATAAACTTTACCCTGGGATAAAATTTCAGTTGATTTGGAGTCAGAACTGGAACTGACGTGCTCCAGGCTAATAACCTTTACTGTCATTTTCTCATCCTCACTTAGTCCTTGTGACCAAACCTTAGGTGACGTGAAGACTAATCAATCACTATAGAGTGAGTGGGAGAGAACGGGGTGAGGTAGAGAGCGAGGCTTGGGAGTGCTGAGCGTGAAGTTCTGAGGTAGAGCTCTGCTCTAGCACCTGCCAGGCTCTGGATTAGAGGAAGACGGTGAGGACCGGGTACCGCCGCGATGCAGTCACAAATAGCTCCTGGTCTCTGTTCAAAACTGGCAAGCACACAGGCTCTCCCGGCCTTTGGGCTGCTTGACATCTAGGAAAATGGGTTGACAGGAGAAAATGGTTGCCATTGTATGGTGCTAGGTGCTGTCGTTGAGGGGAGTGTAGTGACGGAATGAGGGGGGAATATGTACGTGATTCCATCTTGGACACGAGACGGAGGGAAGAGTGGTAGTGGTCACGGAACAGAGATGGAATGGACCGGTGCTGCCAACCGTGTGGTGCCTCCGTGTGAATTAGGAGGAGGACACACGCCTGGGTTGACAGACCAAACTGTCATCCGGGCGATTACACAGTGAACAACCTACACCACCACGTATGGCAGTTTCGTTTGGTAGCTGGGCGGGAGGAGACTTAAGAGCATCTTTGGCCAAAAAGCCAGCATGAGTTAGAACATACAGATGAGCAGTTCAGAAAGGGAAGATGATGAAAGCTGACGGAGATTGCAGGGTTGGGGTGAAGAGAGGCCCAATTTAAGAGCTAGTCTAATGAGTAGGACTTGTCAACTGATACTCAAGGAAACTGGGGTGGGGGTGTCCCCTAGTTTGGGAAGACTAAGTGATTGTGATCTGCCAGACCTAGGCAGACTGACATGGAAGAGCCCCAGATCTTGTTGCCTGTGCCAGTCTGAAAGCTGTGGTGGTTCCTTTCCAGTTTCCTGAGGTCGTCCCCCTTAACATCGGAGGGGCTCACTTCACCACGCGCCTGTCTACTCTGCGGCGCTATGAAGACACCATGCTGGCTGCCATGTTCAGCGGGCGGCACTACATCCCTACAGACTCTGAGGGTCGGTACTTCATCGACCGAGATGGCACATACTTTGGGTATGTCTGTCTCTTCCTCTACAATCAGCTCTGTGGTCATAACTAGTGAGTAGCCTGGAATTGGGTCTTGGGCGTTGCTGTCTTCCACAGTACCAGAGGAGATAGCCTAGAGGTGGAATTTAATAAATGTTCTTATCGACTTGTATTAAAATGCTTAGTTGTTTTGCCACAGGTAAAAACAACGAGAGAAATTTTTGTTTGTTCTTGGGTTTGTTCTTTTGTGATAGGGTTTCTCTGTGTAGCCCTGGCTGTCCTGGAACTTACTCTGTAGACCAGGCTGACCTCAAACTCAAGGCATCCACCTGCCACTGCCTCCTGAGTGCTGGGATTAAAGGTGTGTGCCACCACAGCCTGACAAGAGAAAATCCAATACTGGCAGGATTTGATGAAACTTTTCCCATTCTGTGCAGTTTGAGACTTGGAGAGTCGTTATCTAATATGGAAAGGAACAAACACACTTGGAGTCAGAGAATGTCAAAAACCGTCTTAGGTTCTGGCATTCAATAATACCATGTAAGTTGAGCATGGTGGCACTCTTGAGAGGTGGAAACGGGGGACTGCAAGTATTTCTAGGCCAACTTGGGCTATACAGCAAGCAAGGCTCTGTGTCAACACTCCCAACATACACTACCACCTACTGTAGCACGGAGGGGCTGTGGTGTGTGCAGTTCTGAGGCTCACAGTGGCTTACAGCAGAAACCGTGAAGGATGCTGGATTGCCACACCTTTGTTTTACTAAGAAAACCTTAAAAAACAAACTTGTAGCAAGGCAGTGGTGGATGCAGGTCTTTAATCCCAGCACTTCGGAGGCAGAGGCAGGAGTTCAAGGCCAGCCTGGTCTATAGAGCAAGTTCTAGGACAACTAGGGCTGCACACAGAGAAATTGTCTTGAAAAAACAAAAACAAAAAAATAAAACAAAACAAAAGTCAAACTTGTATGTTACTGGGATTTTAACGATAACACACACACTATACACACACACAAACTCACAGTCTTAGTTTATCTGATATGTACGAATCCTAAAGAAATAGATGTGATTATTACACCTTCCCATGTGATTATTACACGCTTTTGGCAAACCTTATAAAAAGTTTATGCCTCAATTTCATGGTGTTTTTTTTTAAGATTTATTTTTATTTATATGTAGGTATCACTTGTGTGTGAATACCCCGGAGACCAGAATGGGATGGATGTTGGATCCCCTAGAGCTGGAATCACAAGCAGTTGTGAGCTGCTAATGTGGGTGCTGGGAACTGAACTTGCGTCCTCTGGAAGAACATCGAGTCCTCTTAACCACTGAACCATCCTTCTAACCCTCAGTTTCCTTGTTGACATGAGAAATAAGTGTAGCTGTCTGGTGGGCATGTCTGTGATGATTAAGGAAAGAGCCTGTGTGTGACCCCGGGGAGGTCAGATCTTCAAAGCACATGGCTGGAATCCTCTGTTCCTTCATCTCTCTTTGGAGATGACTAGAGGATCTATCTAGCTTTTGACCTTGAACCAGTGACCAGGGAGGCAGGAACTTCAGCTGATGATGTATGTCTTTGTGTTGACTTCCAAGTAAGGGTACCCACAAGGGTCATTTTGATCCTTACAAAGGAGCCTCCAGCGATATAATTTGTTTTGCAGAGTCTGCTTTTCCCCAGTGGGCCATCAGCTGCCTCTGATGGTGAGAAAACAGAGTGTCACATCACTCTGTGGAACTATAAAAAGATTTTTTTGTTTGCAGGCCATTTGGGGAGGGAAGTGCTGGCCCCAGCTGGTGTCTCCCGTAGCGCTCTCAGCTGGGCCTTGCCTGGGCTTTTGCTTGTCAGAGCTCATAAGGGTTGATTGAACATCTCAGAGCACTGACTTTAAAGGGGTGGGGATGGGTGGGTCTGGAGACCTGAGTTCAGGTCCCTGTACCCTGTGTTAAGTGGCTCTCAACCACCTGTAACTTCAGCTCCAGGAGAGCCAATACTTCTGGTCTCCACTGAGTGCCTGTATTCTTGAGCACACACCCACCAAACATAATGGAAAAATAATTTAAAAGTCTTTAAAGGAGTTGTGGGGAGGAAGAACAGGATCCAAATTGAGGCTTCTATGCCGCTGTCTGTTGGCCTCGAGATGTAGTAGCATTCATGCTTGGACTTCTGGACTCCAACAGTCTGTGGCTTATCGGCAGTAGATACAGTTTTTCAAAGCTTCAGAGTATGAGTTCAGGGCATTTGGAAGGTACACACGTTTTTCTGCTGGTTGTAGCTCATGTAGACCATGTACCATCCTGGCGGCTGCTTGGGCCTGGGGCCGGGGGTGGTGGGGAGTTCTTCACTGTGCAGATGGCACTGACTCTGTTTGCTTCTAATGAGGTGAGGACCGGTGGTTGTCGGCTCAGGATGTGTTGTGTCTGGACCTGAGGCTTTGCCAGTGGTGGCTCCTTCAAGAAGGGTTTTCCATAACCTCCGAGGCCCCACTCGGGCCTCATTTATGGACTGGAGCTAAGAGAAAAGCCTGCCTCATATTGTCATTAAGAGGACCAAATGGGTGGTGCATGGCTAGTGGCCAGTACAGATTAATGCTGAAATGTTAGCTGTTGTTGCTTTATGGTTTAGATGAGTTACTGATGTACCAAATAGATCTAGGGGTTTCCTCCCTCTCTTCCCAAAACCGCTGACAATAGGCCTGATTGTTACCCTCGGCACTGAAGAGTCTGAAAAGGATTAGCAGGGACTGAATCTGTACTTTCCCCATATGTGACTTTACTTAGCTGAGAACCAGCTAATGTTAGCCCCTGAAGTTTGGAATGTTGTCTGCCCAGATAGCCATAGAATAATAGTAACAGTAGCAATGTGAGGTGGGTGGAATCTGTTTGTTTCTGTTGGAAGCATGAGGTTACAACTATTCCGTTATCCTTGTAGTTGTTATGACTGAACATTTCTAACATGTATTTGAGAAACTAGTGCTGAGGCCATAAGAGGACTTTCCTCTTCCTCCTCCTCTTTCTCCTCCTCTTCTTCCTCCTCCTCCTCTTTCTCCTCCTCTTCTTCCTCCTCCTTCTCTTCCTCCTCCTCCTCTTCTTCCTTCTCCTCTTCCTCCTCCTCCCCCTCTTCCTCCTCCTTTTCTTCCTCCTCCTCTCCCTCCTCCTCCTCTCCCTCCTCCTCCTCCTCTTCTTCCTTCTCCTCTTCCTCCTCCTCCCCCTCTTCCTCCTCCTCCTCTTCCTCCTCCTCTTCCTCCTCCTCTTCCTCCTCCTCTTCCTCCACTCCTCTTCTTCCTCCCCCTCCTCCTCTTTCTCTTCCTCCCCCCTCCCTCCTCCTTTTCCTCCTCTTCCTCCTCCTCCTCTTCCTCTTCCTCCTCCTCTTCCTCTTCCTCCTCCTCTTCCTCTTCCTCCTCCTCTTCCTCCTCCTCCTCTTTCTCCTCTTCTTCCTCCTCTTCCATCTTCCAGAGCCTTCTTCCTCCTCCTTCTCTTTCTTGTTCTTCTTTTTTTGGGGGGAGGGGTTGGTGGCGGGACTGGGTCTCTCTGTAGCCCTGGCTGTCCTGGAATTTGCTTCATAGACCAAACTGGCCTCAGATTTACAGAGATACACAAAGTGTATATGTAGCCCGATGGATGCTGGCGATCTTAGCACTTGAGAGACTGCAGCAAGAGGAACAAAGAGTTCAAGGTCAGACTTGTCTCCCTAGTAAGTTTGAAAGGAGCCTGGGCTACATCACACCTTGTCTGAGAAACACCACTGCATGTGTGTTTTACATCAACGGCATTATAGCCTTCTGTTACACCTGTGAGTACCACCTAATAAGAAGCATTATGATGGTAATGACTTAGGAAGGCAACAGATAGCCATTTCTGGGGGCTCACACTCTGCTAGGCGTTTTCTAAGCACTTTTCATATATTAGCTCATTTAGTTTCTCTCCTGATTGAACTTACACTTCTGTTGTTTATTTTGTTTTGTTTGAGACAGAAGCTCACTATGTAGGCCAGGCTGGTCTTGAACTCACAGCCTCACCTGCCTCTGCCTCCCACATATGTCACCACAACCACCTTAATTTTCTTTTAACTGTATGAGGTCATTTAAAAAAAAATCTTTCCCTTTTTGTCAGTGTCAAAAAGACACTGAAACACACAAAGGTCGAGTTCACTTGGCCAAAGTTACAGTTGGGGACGTAGCCCAAATTCTGTGCTCTAACCACTTTGATAACCTTCCCCTCCCTTCCTGCTGCTTGGTCCTTAGCTTCTTCTTACCCTTTCTCTTCTCTGCCTAGAGATGTGTTGAACTTCCTGCGTTCAGGGGACCTGCCACCCCGGGAGCACGTGCGAGCTGTGCACAAAGAGGCCCAGTACTATGCCATTGGGCCCCTCCTGGAGCAGCTGGAGAACATGCAGCCACTGAAGGGCGAGAAGGTGCGCCAGGCCTTCCTGGGGCTCATGCCCTATTACAAAGGTGAGGGGTCAGCTGCCTCACAGCTGGGGAGAGGGGGTGGGAGGCATCATTTAGCTCCTAGGCCTTTCCCAGAAGTGGGTGGGTCCAGTGTTCATCTAGATTAGGAGAAACTTTTCCCCTCCTCCTGGGACAATGGGACTTTTCAAGTTGAGAAAAATATCTCTCATATACCCCCACCGTCATCTGACTCCTTGCTTTGGAAAGCTGTGGTCCTTATTGAGGTGTGTCCTTCCTAAGTCCATGGAGTCCATGGGTGTGTGTCCCTGTGTCTGTCTGTGTGTCTCTCTCCCTCCTCTCCTATTCCACCTCTGTCCGCTGACGACAGCTGTTGTGTTAAACTCTGTAGACCATTTGGAGCGGATCGTGGAGATTGCTCGGCTTCGCGCAGTACAGCGGAAGGCCCGCTTTGCCAAGCTCAAAGTCTGTGTCTTCAAGGAAGAGATGCCCATCACCCCCTATGAGTGTCCACTCCTTAACTCCCTCCGCTTCGAGCGGAGTGAGAGTGACGGCCAGCTCTTTGAGCACCACTGTGAAGTGGATGTGTCTTTTGGGCCCTGGGAGGCAGTGGCTGATGTGTACGATCTCTTGCACTGCCTGGTCACGGACCTCTCAGCCCAGGGCCTCACGGTGGACCACCAGTGTATCGGGGTGTGTGACAAGCATCTTGTCAACCATTACTACTGCAAACGCCCCATCTATGAGTTTAAAATCACGTGGTGGTGAGTTGTTCTGGAAAGCAAGAGTCCCACGAAGGAGGATGTCTGTCCTCTTGGGTGGCTCTGGGAGTCTGATCCCCACAGGGGCTGCTGACTGTCCCAGAAGCTGCTGAGGTGAGGACAGAGCACTGAGACGCAGATGCAGAGAGAGGCCCGGGCGCTGCTGCAGTCTCCCTGGTTTGTGTACCTTGGGGACTCGGTCTGCTCTCACTTAGTCTTCTCTTCAAGGCCTGGCAGTCTTCACTAGAAGCCACAAGATCTAGCAAGGATGTCACTGGGAGTCCAGAGAGCTTTTGATACCTTCTTGACGCCCTGTAGGAGAGCTCCTGCTCATCCCTGATGGGGATATCATCACTGCCTCACAATGTTCGAACCTTCCAGTGCTCAGTGTGTCAGGCGAGATAAGGAGTGAGCTAGGGGATTAATCCAAGCTTCTGCCACGTAGCCCTGGCCAAAGAAGAAAGCATACGTCTCCTCCCAGTGTGCTCCTTGCTCTTCCAATGACTTGCAGTACCTTGTCTTAGGATGCAGAAAGATATGTCCCGTGCTCCCAGAACATGCCTGTCACCTTCTCTTGGAGATTAACCATAGCTGCCAAAGCCATGTACCAAGTTGGGCCTTAGAAAAACCACATGTTTACAGCCCTGCCCCGGAGCTTTGGCTTGTCCCTTCTTTGCAGGGTTATCCTCTCACAGGGCTGGAAATGTTAAGTTCTAAAGGTTCTTTCTGAAGATTCCCCAAGTCAGGCAGAGGAGGAGCCTAGGTCCTCTTGATATACAGGCACTCTTTCAGATGCCAAGAACGCGGGGCTTTGCCGCTGGGTCTTATGTTGGGAGTCAGTGTGGTGGACCCCTCTGGAAGGGATGCTCTCGTTCTTTGATAGTTTTTGTTCAGGGTGGTGGGGACTTGCTCCGCAGTCAGGGGCAACTAAGACAGTACAACATGTACTCCCTAAAGAGAGAGCTGTATAGCATTCCTCTGAAAGCGTTGCATGTCTATGCCGCACTATGGGTTCTAAGGAGTCATGGGTGTCCTTGACCATTCCTGGGTAAAAAAAAAAAAAAAAAAAAAAATTGTTTTTTTAATGTAAGGAATTGTCATTGCCAAGCTCAGTCCTGTAGGATCAGAGTGGTGCAGTCAGACAGTTGGGGGCTAAAGGCATCTGTCTGCTTCTGAGGAATAGAAGGCCTGGGCCTTCTGAACCTGAGCGAAATTCTGTGTAGCTGGAGGACAGTGAGTTTCCTGGGCTCTTGTGGAAACACACAGTTTTGAACTGGTGTCTCACTTTGAGTATGACAGAGCTAGAGGCTGAGGTCCATGAAGGGGATGCGTGTCAGTCATCTTCCAGTACACCTGCTCTCTCTGTTCTCCTCAGTAAACAATCACATCTTCTGAGGTGCCAATGCCTCTGCTTGGCGCTTAGCCCAGCACTGTGGCTCTGGCTTTGTTTCAGCAGAGATGTTCCTTATTTCAACCAATTTTATTTTTATTTTTATTTTTATTTTTTGGACAGGGTCTCATGTAGCCCAGGCTAGCCTCCTATTAGTTGTAGAGCTAAGGATGACCTTATGCTCTTGACCTTCCTGCTTCTACCTCGGAAGCTCCAGGGGACACAGGCATGTCCCACGTCTTGTGTCCAGTGTTTGGAGAGCTAGTGAAGTCACACTGTTCAGGATGCTGTCCATGTGAGTAGAAAGCAGACCGTTAAGCCTAGGGCACTTAGTAATTGAGCCTGGGGTTCTTTTCTTCCTGCTCTAGAATATTGCAGTGCTTGGAAAATTAGAACCCACCAACAGAAGACAGAGAGAAAACTGATCCTCTCAAAAAAAAAACAGGCCCAGACTGCTTGCTTAAGGTTACGAAATGCTGGGTAAAGATGTTGTCCATCTTTTGTGATTTGCTGGAGACGTCGTTTTTCTGTCCCCTTTTTTATTCTCAGGATGATATGGTTTGTACCATGGTGGCAAAAGAAAGCTCTAGGCTGCTGGAGTAGGCAGAGGTCGGACACAGGACAGCCAGCTCAGAAACCCCTCTTTTGTTTTTTTTTAAGATAGTTGGCTTGATATTTATGGTATTAGGGGGGCAAACCATGTACTGAATCGTCTTATATGGTTGGTTTTTTTTTAAAATAACAAAATCCTTTGTGTTTTTAAGCCAGCGACTTGTACACTGTCTTGCAGCACAGAAACTTTTCTTTGTACTACAAAATATATTTATTATAATTCTAATTCTCCCTTGGCTAGTAAAATAGAAATATGAAATAAAGCAATATATATTGGGACCTGGGCTGTGGTTTGGTGGTAGACTATCAGCCTAGTGTGCACAGGGCCCTGGGTTCCCTCGTCAGCACCACAGGGGGGGGCAACTGTATCATGTCAAAGTGTATCTTTACTATCCGGGCTCTCTCCTCACTAGTCTTCTCTGCCCTCTCGGAATCCATGGCCTGTTTTGGCTCTCTAAAGAGAAGCCAAGGCTGGTCTGAAATGTGCTGTTGCATGTGGTGGCTGAAGATGGCTTCCAAATAAAAGGGTCATATCTGTGGGAATTAGCTTGGCCTGTTTGATCCCTTTCCAGTTAATTGTCCAGGCCCAGAGCAGAAGGCTTGTAAGGAAAAGCTTCTTGACCCACAGGAAACACCTTCTCACAATGTGTGCATCCTGTCAATCAACACCTCTCATCTGGCTTGAGCCAGATCAGCCGTTACCGAATCAGACCCACGTGCCTACTACCCTTGAGCTCGCCTCCTGTTTTCCTTTGGGCATCTTCCTTCCTGGGAGACACACTCACTGCTTGGGAAAATGATTTTGATAGCAGCACATGGTGGAACCTTAGCCACAGCAGAACGCAATGCATATTAAAGCATAGAGTAGCAACAGGGAAGACTGAGAACGAGAGAGAGACAGCACATCCCAGGGGGAGGAATTCCCCGTTACTGTGCTAAGGAGAGGAACCATCACCATCCGTAACCTACCTCTGCGTGTTCACCTGGCTGCTGTATTTCCAACGTTGAAAGCCAACCATAGTGAAACTTCCTGTTCTTTTCTACTGGGGCTTAGGATGTTTGGGAACTGAGTGCTCAGGCCCAGGCTGATCAAGTTCTGAGTTGTTCCATGGAGGACCAACAGACCCCTAGGAGTCAGAGCACACTCGGGTATGGGGAGTTTATCGGTGCACGATCCCAGACTGAAATGAGTCTTAATTAAAAACATCAGCCGGGCCATGGTGGTGCACACCTTTAATCCCAGCACTCAAGAGGCAGAGGCTGGCAGATCTGAGTTTCAGAGGGAAGAGATTGGGTGTGGGAGGTCAGCTGGGCCCATTGTCTTCATTTGCATAACCTTGGCTTTTAGTACCGAGCACACTTCCTGTGTTCAATAACCTACCTACTTGTGACTAAGCTTGCACATAGAGCGGCCCCTTCTCCACCAAAGTCAAGATCTAGAACCTGGGTGATGTGCTTTCTTTACTGATGACATCCCTCCCTTGCCAGCGAATATGTCTTGATTCACTGCTTTAGATGTGTTTGGAGATGCTACAATAAAATAAGAAACCTAGGGCTGGAGGGATGGCGGGATGGCTCAGTGGTTAAGAGCACTGACTGTTCTTCCAGAGGTCCTGAGTTCAATTCCCAGCAACCACATGGTGGCTCACAACCATCTGTAATGGGATCTGATGCCCACTTACTGTGTGCATGAAAACAGAACATTTGTATACATAAATCTTCAAAACAAAACCAACTTAGCTCTTCCTGGAGACCAGCACTGGACTTTGGGACTCGAGGGGACTCAGTGGCCCTGAGAAGATCATGCTCAGGAGTGTGCCTTCCCTAGTGTACACACTGCTCAGCCATTTGTTGAAAGTGCCCCGGGAGAAGCCTCTAACAGAAATCCCTCTGTCCTATTCACTTCTTAAGGGAGGAATAGTAGCTCTAAGCAGGTATCAACCTCAGTACTGAAGACCAAGGCCCCTGCAGAAATGGGTACAATTCGCCACCACCCTGCCACCCGCAAAGTGGAGTGTGACCACTTCCCTGGCTAAGCTCATCAGGACACTCCTTAGAGTCACTTCCAGGACTGACTACGCAGGTGAGCTCTGAGGCGCTACGTGAACGCCAGCTGCTACTGCAGGGGTTCTCAATCTGTGGGTCGTAACCCCCTTAGACCTCATATCAAATATATTACGATTCATAACAGTAGCAAAATTACAGCTATGAAGTAGCAACAAAAGTATTGTTACGGCTGGGGGGAGTGGTCACTACAACGTGAGGAACTGTTGTAAAGAGCCACAGCATTAGGAAGGTTGAGAACCAGTGGGCTAGTTGCTTCCCTTAAGTCTCTGATTTGTCTGCCTCTTGAACAAAAAGCTGTGCTCGCCCTTGTTGAGTGTTTTCCCCGGCCCACTGATGATAACATCTTACCCATTGGAAATGAGCTTCTAGAAATGTAATCTTCCAGGTCAACACAAACAGCAGAGCCTGAGGTCAGGTCAGAGCAGAGATCACCCTCCCTCTCCCTCGTACAGACCAATAGTTACCCTGCCTAGCCAGTGAACACTTGAAGCCCACAGACTGGAGGAAGATGGCAGGACAGCTTCTTTAGGTAAGCACCCACGGGCCCAGCTATTTAGGAAGCTATGGTGGGAGGATTGTTGATCCCAGAAGTTTGAGACTAGCTTGAGACAACAAACCAGCAATGTTTCCCTATTTTAACTTTTAGCGTAGAAAATATGCTTTACTAGACAATAATTTGAGGCACATCCCAGGCTGAGAGTGGAAAGTGGCCAAAGGGACCACTGTAGAGGAAAACAGAATAGCCAGAGACAAATGTCTTCTGTCAGTTCACTCTGTAGACCAGGCTAGACACATAGAGGTCTATCTGCCTCTGCCTCTCAAGTGCTGGGATTGAAAGTACATGTGTTATGCTTGGATTTTTTTTAAAGGTCTCTGTGTATGGGTGTTTTTGTCTGTACCATGTGTGACCCAGCCAGGTATGAAGTACCCCAGACTGAAGGTACAGACAGTCTTAACTTGTCATGTGTGTGCTCAGTAGCAAACCTGGGGTTTCTGAAAGAGCATCCTATACTTTTAACCCCTGAGGGATATCTTTGCCAGGCTCCTTCCATTTTTTTTTTTTAGACATTCTCATTGTGGAGCTGTAGTTGTCCTTGAACTTCTGGTCCCACCTGTACTGCTGAGAGTAAGGGATGTAAGGGATTTCATGCCTGGCTGCTCCCCCCCACACACACACACTTTTTCTCTTTTCAAAGCTGGAAATTGAACCGATGACCCTGCATAATATGTCAAGTGAGCATTCTTATACCAAACCGTATCCTCAGGCTGAAACCCTGATTGTTTTTCTAACACAGGCTTTCTCTGTGTAGCCTGGCTGTCCTAGGACTTGAACTTTATATCAGGCTAGCCTTGAACTCACAGACATCTGCTGCTTGCCTCTGCCTCCTGAGTCGGGGAATTAAAGGTGTGCACCACTCCTCACAAGGCAGAAACCCTCTTAACTGAAAGGAAACCTAAAGCTCTGCTCTTAAAAGGGCTCCTCATTTTATAGCCCTTATTCTCTCTCTCTCTCTCTCTCTCTCTCTCTCTCTCTCTCTCTCTCTCT